GGGGGGCGGGGGAGGGCAGAGCTAGAAACCCCTGGGTTTTGGAGGACACAGAGCACAAGGGATCCCAGGAAGAGGAACTGGGGGTTGAGTTCACAAGCGCAGATCAAGAACCCCATTCCACGAGGAAGGCAAGTCACAAGGAGTGGACAGGGGAGCAGACAGAATGAGGACGTGGCCAGAGAAATTCCCATGAGGCCACGGCGGGGAGCTCCCTGGCCAGGCAAGGGGATGGAGACCTGCAGTCTCAGGGGGTCACAGCCCCCATCACGCGGCCACCTCTGCCGGAACTCCCTCTTCATCCGTCACGTCCAAGCCCTTTGTTTTCTTGAATAACTCAACTTGATTTCTTGCCGTTCCTTGTTCCCGCTGTGGCCTCCCACCCGGATGACGGCAAGAGCTCCCCGACTCCCTGCCTCGCTCTGGTCTCCTTCGGGTCCCTTTCCCACCGCGGCCGAAGCACAGACGCAGCCACTCTGCCAGGAGCTGCCGGGCACTGCTGCCTCCAGGAGCCTGGTTCCCGTTGTCCTTACTCATCTGACCTCTGCTGACCCTGCTACGCGTTCACTTTCACGGCCCTGCCAGCCCCGCGCTCACGGGTGCAACCACACAGACCCTCATAAGGGACACACACTCACACTCACACGCGGGCACACACTCACACTCACACGCAGGCTCACACTCACTCGCGGGCACACACGCTCATGCTCACTCGTGGTACACACACTCTCATGGGCACACACACACTCACTTGCCGGTAGACACATTCGCAGGCACACACGCACACTCACCCAGCCTGGGCTTTAACCACGCTCTGGTTTCACACTTGCGCAGGCCCCTGGCCCTGCCCTTTGGGTGAGCTGCAGCTAGTCCTGGAGGGCCCTCCTGTCGCGTGGGGCTCGCCCTCCTAACCCCCTAAGCCGGGACCTTCAGGAGGTGGTCCAAGGGTTCTTTTAAGAATCAAGCTCTAGGGGTCCTTGGGGGGCTCAGTGGCTTAAGGCCTCTGCTTTCTGCTCGGGTTGTGATCCCGGGGTCCTGGGATCAAGGCCCGCATCCGGCTCTCTGCTCGGCGGGGAGCCTGCTTCTCCCTCTCTCTCTGCCTGCCTCTCTGCCTACTTGTGATCTCTGTCAAATAAATAAATAAAATCTTAAAAAAAAATCAAGCTCTAGGCTTACTTTTTTTTTTAAACTTTGGGGTTTCTTCTATTTTGCTCCTCCCCTTGCCTTTACTTTGTCAGCCTGTCATGCCATCATTGCAGGGAGCGGGTAGACGGCTGGAGGGCAGGGAAGCCGGTGGGAAGGAGTCCGAGGTGGCAGACTTCAAGGGGAAGGGGAAGGGGCTCTGAGCCAGAAGGTGGGCTGTCGGGGCAGGAGTGCACACCCGACGGGGTCTAGCATCCCAGTGGAGGGGCCAGGTCTTGGTCAGAAACACTGTGGTTCGGACTGAGCTGAGTGCTGGGTTGCCGGGGCTCCCCGTGAAGGGAGCTGCACTTCTGGTGTGGTGGGCGGAAGTGGCGGGTGGGCAGCGGGTGGAGGGCAGGCCTGGGCCGGCCTGGGAGCACTGGGCACTGAGGGGATGCAGTATCGGACGCCCCGGCCGCGGGTGCTTTCAGGACGCAGAAGGAGGGGGGTTATCAGTCCCGAAGTCCATGCAGAGGCATAGAAGGATGTGGCACTTGGGAAGCCACCCGTGACCTTTCTAGAACCACTACCACTGAGTGTCGGGGTCCACTGCCAGGCTCCAGAGGCCTCGTCGGCAGAGACGGCGGGAGAGCCGAGTCCTCCTCTCAGGGAACGAGGGCGGTTCCAGGCCTGCCTGGGGCCGCAGGGGCCAGAAACAGGAACAGAGGGCACAGGGGGGATGCTGCAGGGAGGGGAGCATGTGGTGTCACAGCTGCAGGACTCTGTCACTGGCTCAGCGCCCTGTGTCACCATCGCTGATGCGCTGTCAGCTGCGGACTCCTACGGCCGCACCCTGGGCGGTGGCCACCACCAGAGTCTCCCTCTGTTATCTTCAGCCCCGGCTTCCGCCCTTCCCGCAGCCCCTGTTCCTATCACGGCCCCCAGCTGCTCAGCATTCCCCGGGAGCCGTCCTGGCTCCGTCCCCACACGCACCCCGTGGCTTCTCTGCCTCTTCCCTGTCACCCCCGCCTGGAGAGGTTCTGCGGCCCCAGGGCTCGGTCACATACTCATGGCTCCCAGACCTCAGCTCCTGTCCTGGACTCTGACTCTGGCCCCTGGACTTGGGCCGTCATTTGCCTCCCGGCCACCCCTGGGCGCAGAGGAATGGGGAGGGCGGAGGGCGAGGGAGGTCGATGGGGGTGGCGTAGTGGACCCACTATTGTAGCACATTTGAATTCCAGAGCTGGGACACTCACAGTCTTTGGGGCTGCTTGGAAGTCTGGTGGAGCGGGGAGGAGTGGCGGGGCTCTGACCACGGACCATTGGGGTAGGTGGCACTTCCATCCCTGTGGCCCTGCGTGCGTGCTGCCCTCCCCTCCCCTTCTAGGGCCTGCTGTCCCAGCCCGGTGTCACTGTCTGTGCCCTCTCTCCGGGGCTTCCCGAGACCCCGCCCGCCCCCTCTCCGTCTTACAGTTTCCCCGGCGTTGAGGGGGGCTGGCTGCCGCCTCGCCGAGCCCCGAGCTGAACCCGCTGATGCCCAGGCCGCCTGCTTGGGTCTTGATGGCCGACTTGAGCTCGTGGTTCTCCCGAATGAGCTGCACCAGCTTCTTGAGCTCCTGGTTCTCCCTCACCAGCCTCTCGATCTGGTGCCGAAGCCCCTCATAATTGGTGAGTAGAGACATGCCCCAGGGCGGCGGGACAGGTGCCGCCCGAGGGAGGGCGCCACGCCTGGAGGCTGCCCAGGGCCCCGGGCCTTGCCCGGGTTGGAGGAGGCCGCCAGACTTTGCAAGTTACAAGGCGGGCCCAGTGGGCTCTGGGTATTGTGAGGTCAGAGGCTGTGCCCTCCTCCTTGCCCCTGCTCTCCACGCCTCCGGGCTGTGCCCTGGTCCTGCCCTATCTGGAATGCATGGACCCTTCCTCTGTCGGACCACCTTCGCCCAGCCAGCGCCTGCTCTATCCAGCTTCCTGCAGCCCAGCAAGCTCATCTCTCTCTCCAGCCTCCCCTGCGGCCATGTCATCCCCGCGGCACCCCACCCCCACCCTGCTGTGCCCGGAGCTGCCAGGGCTGGTGTGAGACTGGGGGTTGGGCACCTCCCCAGCAGCCAGCAGCGGGCCCAAGTGCATGGCAGGATAGGTGACCAGTGCAGAAATCTAGAAGGAAAGCTCATCTCCCACCTTCCTGGCCAGGGGGCCCTTTCCTGGGAGGTTGGGTACCCCTGGGTTAAGCCTGTCAGCCTTCTCCTGGGGACATTCTACCTTGGATACCTGGACAGTGGCCAGACTTTCTTCCAACCCTGGTGCTCAAAGCCTTTGACTGCTGGCCCAGGGGCTCCCTTGTCCCAGCATCTGGCTCCCTATAGCTTAGACTTGCCAGTTCTGGTGACTCAGGCTCCCCTAGTCCAAGCCCCCTGTGGCAGCCCTCTGCACCCCCACCCCTATTCTCTGACTTCCTGAATTTTCCAGACTGTGGGCCTTAGAGCGCCCACGATGTGCCCCTTGTCAGACTGTCATGTTCCAAGAATTCGGACCTGTGTGTCTGCGCCGCGCCCCTCGTTAAGAGCTGTCTACAGGGAGATCTTGGCAGGCCTGACCTTGGCAGTCCGGTGAGGCGGAGTCCCAGGCATCACCCCGGGCTCAGAGAGGACAGCGAGGCCCAGGTCAAAGTCGAGGGTGCGCTCCTGACAGGCCGGTGCGGGTGAGGACGGGTTTGCAGCATTCCATTGAGACCTCACAATGGGGGCCGCCCCCACCCTCCTCCGAGGCCCTAGACCCTAATCCTGGCCCTGGGGGCCGGCCCGCGGCTCTTCACCCCTCTCTGCTGTTTACAGGCCCTTCTCCTGTGTGGGAAAACGCGCTCCCACGGCCTTCTGGTCACCTGGACCACCCAGCGTGGCACTCCCTGTTGGGCTCCCTGGGGTTAGTGCATCTGGGCCGGTTGAACTGAGCAGTGCGGGTGGGTACGCACGTACTCGGTCACACACTGGCTCAGACATTGCTGTGGAAGTATTTTGTAGAGGGATTAACACCTACAGTTGTGGATTATAAGTCAAGGTCGTCACCTTCAATCACGGGGGGAACCTCGTCTCAGCAGGTGAAGGCTTTCAGAGCAGAAAGCCAGGGTTTTCCAGGGAAGGAGGTGGTGGCCTCAGGGCTGTCCTGGAGACCAGCCTGAGTGTCCAGGCTGCTGGCCTGGGATATGGGCAATGGTAAGATTCCGTTCCTTAAAATAAATGTCGTCACACGCAAGAAATCTGACTGACGTGCCCCGTGGGTACCAGCGCATCTGTCCTCTGCACCCCGGCTCTCGAGCCGTGGCCGCGTGGCCACACTGCGTTAGAGTCACAATGTGGGGTGAAATAAAACATTTAAAAACTAGAACAGGAAAAAAAGAAACCAGGCATTTAGCGCTGGTTGTGTCCAGGCACCATCTGTGCCCTGTGGCCCCGGCCCAGCGTGGGGAGCAGCTGGACATGGGGTCACTGTGCGGGGCGAGGGGAGTCTAGAGGCGGCTTCCAGCGGGTTAGCTCTGAGCAGCACCCCCAGGTGGATGCTGGTGGAGGAGCTGGTGGGGGGGTGTCCGGGTGGGGAGGGCTCTCGGGCCTGCAGGGCAGGCCTCCCCAGAAGGACCTGCTGGTGGAACCCGAGAGGAAGGGGCGGTAGGGACAGGCCCTGAGTGTGGCCCTCAAGGTCCTCTCCATCCTGAGGGCCATTGCGCAGTCCAGGAAGGCGGCACGGAGATGGCCTGGTGGGGAAGAGCTGCCGGGCAGGAAGGGGTCACTGTGGTCACCCAAGCAGCCGCGGGTGGTGCCGTGGAGGTGGGGAGAGCTGAGCAAAGTTTAGTGGCCACGGGTCCAGACGGAGGGATCTGGGGTGTGGACAAAAGCGGGGACAGCCTCCAGGCTTCTGGTAAGAGCAGGGCTGCTGGTTGCACCAGCTCGGCGGGGAGGAAGCGGAGCTCGGGGCGAAGGTCTTGCAACAGGCTTGGGTGTGTGGGGCTGAGACCAGGCCGGGCCCCCAGCCTTCCCGGACTGCGGCCCCACCCCCTGGTCCTGGGCTTCCAGCCTCTGCCCTAAGCCTCTCCCCCAGGTACTGCTGGGCTGAGCGAGAGAATCCTGGGTAGTCAGCAGTGTCCCGGTGTCGGTGGGATCCGTGTCCGTGGGAACATTTGGAGCATAAGGCAGGTTTGGTTGGTTTATGTGCAAATATGTCCCAGAGAAATGTGAAAACAGCAAAAATCACATGCGCTGAACGGACGGCAAAACGCTCTGTCCTCCGACTCCTGCCGCGTCCCTGGGCCCCAGCCATGCCAGGCCACGTCCTGCCCCATGTCACAACTTCCCCAACTCCAGCCGCAAGCCCACGCCCTCCTCCCACGGTGCTGGTCTTCCAGTAAACACCACTCCCCGGTGTCTGCAACCTGCCCCCCCCACCGTGCTTATTAGGCTCCCACCGTCGGTGGCTGATGAAGGGCTGGTGGTCCACCCTTCAACCCGAGTTTCTCACCAGTCTTTGGGTTTCCTTGGCTGTTCAGCCCCCCTCCTCTGGCTGCATGGCTCTGGGCAGTCCCTTAACAGCCACAAGCCGTGGATTCCTCCCCTGTGCCACAGTCCTCCCCTCTACCGCCCTGTCTGCCCCTCTGCCCAGCCACCTGTGACCTGGGCCTGTCCCAGCCCTGTGCAGATGTGCACAAAACCCTACGCACACACACAGGGGCACCTGAAGGAGAATGAAATCCTGAGGGGAGGGGCCTGCACCGTTGGCGGCTGGGGGAGGGAGCAGGCCCGGGTGGGAGGGGCCAGGGGCTCCGAAGTCTGGAGGAAGGATGGAGGGGCACAGAGGCCGGGACCTTCCAAGGGGCACGGTGTGGGGGGCAGGCAGGCGGGCAGACGGACAAGGGCAGACAGTGGACAGATACTTGGAGACACTGCTAGAAAGGGCACCCCCAGGAGAAGGCCGCCCTTGGTCAGATACTGGCGGGAGCTGGGGTCCCCTCCAGCTTCCCTGGTCCCCTCTCAGCTACTTCTCAGGCCAAGCCCCGTACTGAGCAGCTTGAGTGTCGAGAGCTGGGGACACACACCCTCAGCTCACTGTGGTCAGGGGACGGCGTGGTGGCCAGTGAACACATGGGAGCGAGGCCTGGGCCAGAGGGGGACTTGGCCACAGTCCCCCTCTCAGACTAGCACCGGCCAGGCCGTTCTTGGAGGGCTTGATGCTGGGAGCGACGTCCATCCGTCGGTGTTTGTCTGGTTCAAGACTGGAGATGGGGTGGCTAGTGACCGAGAGGCTGGGGCTCCCTGGGAGGCGATGCGGGTCTCAACCAGGATAGTGGCGCTGTGAGTCGGAAGTGGAAAACCATCGTCTTCTTTCACATGAGGTAAAAAACGTTCTGGAAGATCAGCGGCTGTGAGCAAGTCACCTGTGGGAGGCTGCTTCGTCTCCTCCGGGGTCGCAGACCCTCCGAGTGGTCTCCCGGCTCCCGCAGGTACCCCCCAGTGGGCTCGGGCAGTGCCGCCTGCTCTGTTCCTCGCAAGGCTGCACAGCGAGTGCCGCAGGTGCTGAGCGCCAGTCTCGTGCCCTATGTCATCTGGGCACCGAGGTGGCCATGGTCGTACCCCACGAGCTACGGAAAATTACAGTGGAGTCGGACAGATGGACCAATGCACAGGAGCCACCACGCAGAGGGCGAGGCCTATGAGGGAGGGGGCCTGGCTTCTGGGCGTCAGGGGAACCTTCCAGGGGCACGACTTCTCACCACCCCATCCCGGTTAAAGGAGTGTCAGGTGGGCCTCTGAGGGGGACCGTGCCAGGACCCAGAGTGGAGGGAGTGAGGCGTGGCGAGCACACGCAGTGGGGGCAGGTAGGAGGCTGGTGGGGGTGGCAACAGAGGCCTTGGGGACCCCTCACAACGTGGACCTCCTCCCGAGTGGTGAGTGCCGAGGGCTGTGGCGGGGCCACGGCTGTCACCAGGGGGCCACACTGGCAAGGCTGTGCTGGCTCTTCCTGTCTCGCAAGGACTTGGGGTCAGGGCGGAGACTGCATGGTCCCGCCATGCGCAGACGGGGAGTGTCGCTGCTGAGAAACACCAGACCTTCCGTGGGCCACCAGCGGTCGTTCAGTTTCCAGCGTTTTTATCACCTCCCCGAGACCTTTTCAGGGGAGCTGCCGTGGCGGGGAGCAGGGTCGGGCGAGCCTTCCTTCCGTGCGAGCACCGTCTCGTGGGCAGACGCCAGGGCTGTTCAGAGGCTTGGCTGCCGGGACGGCCACCCTGGGAGCCGTCAGCGCGCCCGCGGGAGGACGTGCCTGAGGGTCGAGCTCGGGAAGCCTCGGAGCAGGATCCTGGGTGGTAGAAGCTTCGCAAGAGAGCTTGATGGACCGACGGACCCGCTTCCCGGCCGCAGGGACGCCGCCGCCGGGTATCTTCCCCGACACTTGCTGTCGTCACACGCGTTGGTTTCTTCCAATTGAGCGGATGTTCCCTGGGGTCTCATCGTGCGCCAGATGGCAGTCAGTCCATCAACAAACATCTGTGCCAAGCCCTGCCTGGGCTCGCTCTCCCTGGAGAACTGAGGGGCGGTGCGTGGCCGTTTCTGCTTCCTCTTCGGTGGCGCACCCGTCGCGGTGTCCGCCGAGGGGTCTTCGCCCGCAGAACACCCAGGCTCAGCCGTGAGATAACTGAGAGCTTATCGCCTGCTCACAGGACCGGAGATGGAGCCCGCGGTAGCTTTTCTGAAGGAGCCTTGGAGCCAGCCAGTGGATGTGCCCAGACCCACAGGGCAGCTCACACGCGAGGCGCTGAGGTCCACACTG